CAGGGAACACTGTGCTATGCTCACTGTAAAGCTTAACAGCAACAAAATACTGGTTCTGATTTGCCCTCTAGACCCCCTGTATGGGCGTGTGCAGCACGTGCTATCATAAGCTCTTTGCATGGGTTAGAAGTAATAGTTTTAAGATATGAATGGTTTCCTGTTAAATAATAGATGATTGCCAGCTCAAGTTTCTTGATGACAGCTCTACCAAAGGGAAAGAGGGCAGTCCTCTTTGTATTTTCTGTTTATCCGAAGCCGTTTCCCAAATTTACGTTTCCTGTAGCGTCCGTCTCATCATCGGACTTACTAGCTAGCATTACCCCATGTACTTACAGGACATCTTGCTCTTGCCTGAGATCCAGCTCTTGTAGAGTAGGTTGTGTATGCTCAAGTGTTTGAACCGTGCTGTTTTTCTAAAGAAACATTTCTCTAGAATGTTTCACTTTTTGACTTCAAAGTCAAGTATCAGTAACTGTTTTTGGCAGCATGTGGGCCTAAGAGTGTGTGGATAGCAGAGGAAAAAGGTGCCTTGATTGAGCAGACTGCTCTGGCCAGAACGGAATCTTATTTTGATGAGCATCGGTACCACAGACAACATGGTTTTAATTTGAAATGGGGAACTCAGTGACATTGCCAAAGCCCCTTGTACAGTGTTGGTTATTTTATTTGGGCTAGAATGGTACACAGATTAAGACCCCAATTTTCTTCCAGAAAACCATGATGACTGCACTTTGTACTTTGCAGCCTGGTTTGGGAGTTTGGAAAATTGATTCATAAAGTAATGAAATTAAAAGTATCCAAATGAGTCAACTGAAAACTATCTGCCTTTATGCTATGTGTTTTAAACATTCTGTAGGTCTTTCCATTTTAATTATATATCTTCAGATATGGAGGCTCTCTCAAAGGTTTTTAGTATTTCTATTTTGTATATACCCCAGGGTATATGAGAATTTGATGAGTCTGCCATTCATTCAGCATATTCCTTTAACAAGTTCAAAGAATCCTTAGGTTACCTGTATGATGTCAATTACACATTTGTCAGAATTGCCTACGTGAATCTTAATGTAATTATGGGCCTGACATATGCACGTTGTACAGTACATACAAAAGACTTCCTCTGAGAGTTTTCATGGTAAATGCCAAAAGTATGTCTTAATATCTTAATCTTAATTCACCACACTCAACTTGGCTGTTTTCTGAAATTCAAATGTACTTTGACAAAGGTTTATTAGTGATACAAAGATGGAGGTTAACTACACTCATTATGAACAATCCAACAAAAACTCATTAAATTATTTTTTGGACAAGCCTTACTTGCCTTGTATTCATGCATAGATTTACCATATCTGGCTTGCCATCACTCTCTCCCACCAATATAAACCTCTCTTTCCATTGGAAAAATTTTCTTTTCAAATAACCCGCTTTATTAAAAAAGAAAAAAAAAAGTCAGGTTTTTTAATGAAAATTTCTGCAGCCGTCTAATCAGTAGAGATCTTGTACTTTGGATATAGAAATGCCTCAGCATTAAGGAAGTAGACCGCCTCACGATCATATATCTTACCGTGCTTTCTGTTAATTAGCCTACAGGCTTGGCGTGCTCGTGGAGGGATGGTACGACCCAGTCAATGTTAGCCAGACATTCATCTCAGTCATACACATATGTCCTTTTGTCTTCAGGAATCTTAGACATTAGTTCAGAGTAAGTCCATGTCCACATTCTCATGGTTTATTTTGCATATGGAGATGCTCTTATTTTGCACGATAATACACGTGAAGCTTTGCTTCCACAATGATGCTCTCGCGGAGCCTGTTCTGAATTATCATTCTTGCTCTTTCTCCTCACGTTCGTTCATCCCCAAGGCTCTCGTGGCAAAGCATTTGCTGATGTGTTGACAGTGACCTGGCTTGACTCTCTTGCTGTTCCTCTGACATGAGTGCCCTCTGTCTCCGTGGGTCCCCATACCACTGTCTCTGCCTGCAAGTGTCACCCATGTGTGTCCATGGCTCGCTCTCCTGCCTCATTCCACAACCTGCTCCAAAGTCACCCCCCCTAGAAAGTTCTTCCTTGATTAACCCATCTAAAATGGCACACACACTTGCAAATTACCATCTAACCCTCGCCCTGCCTGCTTCAGCTGGCTTGCTAGCACTGGTCTCCACTAGATCTTAAGGTACACACCTAACTGCTACTGTCTTTATTTACTGTCTGTGTCTTCTACTAGAATGTAAGTTCCATGGAGGGAGGTACTTTGTCTGTTTTCTTCACTGTTTTATCTCATGATCTAGAAAATGCTGACAAGTGAAGGGCACTGATTGTTTGTGACTAAATGGATAACTTCTTTACATCTCAGTTAATTTCTCTGGTGAAGGAGAATATTGCACTACTTAGTCTTTCGCCAAGAATGCATCTGTTTGCAATGATATCATAGGTGTGTAGGTTATGTTAGGGTTGATTCTTCGATGTTTACTTGTAAGCATCAAAATTTATTAGAATCACATGCCTTTTCCCTCACCAACAATAAATGAAAATACTGGATTCCTTCATAACACTGGCCTGTAACTCTTGGACTGATAAATGGTGAAAACTACTAGCTGGCTCAGCAGTGGTAATCATATAAATTATTAATCATGTGGCACTTCCCTCAAAATATCTTTAAGAAGTATACACTAGACTAATCATAAACTTTAATATGTTATTTCCCACTAAAAGCTGTAATACATGTATGCTAAAATGCATCTCATTTCTAGGCTTATGTTCTTCCTAAGGGAATGTAATTTTAGTTATCTAGAAATGTTAGTCCTTTTCAATTGGATCGATGACATAAAATGGGAAAAGAAAAAGTGCAGTGCTGAATTCCTGATCCAAAATTTTTAAAACTTTCACTTTTTACAGATTACTTTTACCATAATGTTGAATTCAAGTAAGTAAGAATGCATTTCCATGAAAATAGCGATTTGTTCTTGGATGGAGTGTGTAGAAGCAGTTAAGTCCCATGGTGATATATTTTATTGTCCCTTATAAATAAAATACCTATAAAAGACCGAACTTTTAATAGTTTGTCAGTTACCTTTCTCATCAACCTTGGTGTTGGGCAACATTTTGATAGCAACATGTGAGTGAGAAAGAAGTGCTCCAGGTCCTTCAGAAGGCTCCATTTTCTTAAGATGGGTTTGTTTTCTCTGAATAAGTTATCAATAAAATCAGATAATCTTGAAAATTCCAGAAGCAATCTTGAAGCTTCTTAAGAACTGAGTGCTCAGTCCTATGGCATGTGGCCAGTCTGAGCACTCAGCTCTGAGGCTGAGTGAGGCCTGACAACATGGCCATAAGCTATGTTCAGTGTTCACCAAAAGTAGTTTTCACAACACAGATGCAGGAGGAGTCCCAAAGAGTGACTGTATTCCAGGCAATCCAACCAACCCTTGCAGGGCCTGGATCAACATTTTGAGGGCATAGTTTTACGTGCGGACAGGCAGGTCATGATTAACCATTTATTTGAGGGGGCTGTTACCTGGCCATTTGTCTATCTATAATTGTCCACAACCACAGCACATGCGGCCACGCTTCACGATTTCCATAAGTTAAGTAATAATCTCCACTTTAACTGAGACTTCATTTCATACATTTCTGATTCGTTTTGCTATAAATATTGTTCTTGCTTCAATGGAAAAAAAAAAGTTTTCCAAGAAGAACCAAAGAGTAGAAATTGTCCTAGAAAAGTCCCATCTTCTTCCTAAACTGGGATGATTAAGCAAGGAAATCGTAACGCTCTATCTCACAAAGAATTCTTAGAGAATTAGAATACAGAGTCTTGGCGTCAGATTCTTTTCTTTAACCCTTCACTAGAATCCTGTTTAGCATTTTACTTTTAGCTCTGTTCTCAATTATAGAGTTTATATCCCTGAAGACACTGAGATGCTTCAGAGTTTCTAGAGAAAAAAAAAAAAGTACTCTGTTTTGAGTTACGTGACACAATCAGCAGCGTCCTAACACTGAAAGTCATGGGGAAGTACGGAAACATGTTGGCTCCTCGTAGGTGACACAATTACATTAGTGTCTTACACTCAGTCTCTAAGCCACATTATAGGAATGTTACAATTTCGATTAAACCCACATTTTATTTCCTATTCTGAAACAGAAAATAATAATCTCTACATTATGAAATGACAAAATAATTCTGGCCTGAATCTCAATCTGTCGGTATTCATTTTAAAATATTTTATTTACTAAGACATTTTATTTACTAAAAACTTTTACATAGTGTTAAAATCGCTATTCCATCTGGGGCCGTCAGCAGTACAGTCAAAGCCTAGTAGTCTCAGCAGACAGTAGGGATGGGTCAGATATTTAATTATGAAAAGTTCTGAGACTGTGAGGTAATTTGAGGAAGTCTTGTGATTTCAGATGGAATGATTATTACACGAATGAATGTTGTTCTGGGCTGGTCTCCGCTCCCGAATTGTTTCACTGTTGGGTGAGTACCTGAAAGTGGACGTTTGTCTTGGTGAAGGTAACAGGTGAAATTTGTTTAGAGTTTATGCAGCAGCGTGATCAGGAGTTCAGTATGTGATGCTGAGCTCCCACTGCCATTCTTCCTACACCAGTGGACTTAGGACGTTTGGGAGAAAGTGAGAGCCAGACGTCTTTCCCTAATTGGCTATAATTCATTGCTGTTCTTATAATGGTAAGCCTGGTCCAAAGCACAGACTCTCCCGGGGACTGCTAAGCCAGCTTCGTCACCAAGACAGGCCCCTAAGACCCAGCCTAGTGGGGACTCGTTAGGCACCAGGCAAGCCCAAGGACAGGGAGGCGTGCATTCAGGCGACTTGAGCGTATCTGTCTGGCAATGATTCATACTCGTGTTTTCTAAAGTGACGTTGCCCGTTTCTGGTTCAACCTGCGTACCCTGTGGACAAGTAGCAACTATTCACAACTAGGAATGAAGATAATATAGCATGATGAACAATTAATATTACACTATGAATGCAACATATTTTAAATAAATATTTTAATTTTATTGTTGGCATTTACAAGTAGAAAGCATACAGTATGTTACAAATATCAAAATGTGAAAAATATGAACGTTACATAAGTAACAAATGTAAAAAAAGTATTTTCTTACTTTCCCTGAAAGTAAGAAAACTATTCAGCATAGGAAAATATCAGTATCAAAAACACAGTTTAGGTGTAAAAAAAACTTTTTACACAGTATTAAAAAAACGATCTACAAAATGCCAGAAAGTAAGAAGTGTTGAAATTTGACTTTATATAAATTATAAAAACTGGGTACTTAGGGTAAATGTTAAGTGGTTGAAAAATAAGTCCAATCATAGGCTCTGCTTAGGTCAATTCTTTAAAAATTTTAAAAGCATAGAACATTTTTCAATAAATAATTTTTTAAAAGTTGTCTCTGAGAAGCTCTGCTGAGAGCATCAGTCCACAGTAGGAAGGTGGCAGTGTTTTGGGGACAACATGCAATCATTTTGTTTCTAGTGGAAGCCTGATGAGTCAGAAGACCATCACTGTTTACAAAAACAAAACAAAAAAAGGTTCAGAAGTTTTAACACAATTTGTAAGAAAGTTCTAAAGTGCTGAACAAAATGACTTAATTTTAGTACCCACTGTCATGTAAAACTTATTCAACTATTCAGACATTTCCAAGCAACACTGAATATGGCGTCTACAATTCTGAGAAGTGTTAACAGTCTGTCATTGGAAGGTAGGAGGGCTCCTTTCTATACTTTACAAGGATCTTGCAATGCAAACCAGAATAATAATAATACAATGGCAACAATACACAAACCCCACTGTGAAAGCACAAGTTCATTTCTGCAATGGCAACAGTATTAATTTTAAAAAACACAAACCGAACACTGGTAACTAAGAAAAAACTTTCCAAAGGCCGCATGCCACATAACTAGTTACACAATACAAGGCATGCCAGAAAAGGAATCCAACCAAGCGTATTTAAATTAAGAGTCGTTTTCGAGTCCGTTTCAGCAGCATTGTGGTTATTATTTTTAGAACGTCTCCCGCCACCGCCGGTCCCTACTGGCTGGTTTTGCAGGTGCGGCCCAGCCGACGGGGGTCTGCGTGCTCCCGGCGATCACACGTACTGTTCCGCGTCCCCGTCTCGGGGGACTGGCTGTGCTGCCCCGCTTCTGCCTTCTTCGCTCGCTGCTGCTTTCTCTGGGAGAGACGCCAGGTCTTGGAAAACGTCTACGTAGTGGCCGAAGCCGGGCCCCCAGTTCAGAAGGCTGTCCCAGTCGAAGGCCCCCGCCGGCTGCCCGAGCTTCAGGGGCGGCGCGCCGTCCGCGGCGCCCGCGGGGCCGCCCTCAGCCCGGCGGCCGTGGTGCCTGCGCGGCCTCGGCCTGGCGCCGCAGCGGTCCTCGTCGTCCGCGTCCGACTCGTTGACCTGCGACAGCTTGGGCACGCGGGACGTGAAGGCCGCCGGCCTCTCGCGGTCGTACTCCATCTCCGAGCACGTGAACGACTCGTGCGAGTCGCTGTCGGAGGACGAGTCGGGCGCCGGGAGGCCGTCGGCCGGGTTCCGCGTCCGGGACAGCGGCCGCCGGCAGTCGTCCTCGGAGGAGGAGCGGCCGTGGTCGGCGCTGCAGATGCTGGGGTTGCGCGGCCGCGGCGCGTTCAGCCGCTCCACCTCCTCCACCGACAGGCCGATGGGCGGCGCGGCGTCCAGCGCCCCCGGGCCGCCGGGCTGCCTGAGGC